TGAGAGTAATTTTGTTCCATAAAAGAACAGTAAATTGACAAATAAATATAGTAATTTAATTTATTTCCGTCGTTTTTGGTATATTAAATAAAATAAGTGTCATTGTATAAATTCTATCCCTCTGCAAAAAGTTCCGATTTTTTTCAAGGTAGACAACTCTCATCAGGATCAAAATAATTGTAAAATGTAAAATAAATTAATTATAAAGACTTTGTGTGTATTTGGTTCAATTTTTCACTCTTTTTGTATGTAACTATGTGTCCTGTTTGATTTTGGCTTGTATTTAGTAACTTTTATCCATATAGTTTCAATAAAAAACGCTTTTTGTAACATGTTGTAGATATTTTATGATAAATAAAATATTTGTAGGGTTGATTAGCAATGTTTCTTTTCATTATTTTATTGTTGTAATAGTTTTGAACAATGCCACACGCTCAAAAAATGTGAAAGTGTTGAATTTGACAAAAATTCAATTTTTCAGTATTTTTTACAAATAAATCCCCAGTTTATCGGAATGCTTAGATTTTCATAAAATCATCTCTACATAGTGACTTAACCATGATGTGAAACTTTCATTGAATTCTGATGGCTAATTGCGAAAGGGTGGAGCCTCCTTAAGTAAGATATAAGCCTCAAACTGTCTATTATCTAAAATATTGGACAGTCTGAGGCATGTAATTTTGTTTGATGGCATTATGTAAGAGATAGTAATGATCGAAAGTGTCTATGACAACATCGAAAGTGTCTATGACAACATCGAAAGTGTCTATGATTACATCGAAAGTGTCTATGACAACAGAGAAAGTGTCTATGACAACAGAGATAGTGTCTATGACAACAGAGAAAGTGTCTATGACAACAGAGAAAGTGTCTATGACAACATCGAATGTGTCTATGATAGCATCGAAAGTGTCTATGACAACATCGAAAGTGTCTATGACAACAGAGATAGTGTCTATGACAACAGGGAAGTTCTTGACGACATGCAAATACTGTATGTAATAGTTGGGATTACACTTGTATGCATTTCTGAATTCTTTCTCTTGAAAATGTTTTAGACTTAAGTAATGAAAAGTTATATTTTACATTGATAGGAATATCAAAAACATTCATGATTTAACTAAAAGTAAATAACTTAATAAACTACAGTAACTGTTGTAAGTATTCACAAATCACAGTTAATGTTGGTCCTCTGTGTATGTATATGCTGCACCACTATATATCAGCCTTTGGTTACCTGTTTGCTCTATGGTAAACCTATTTGTTGATTGTAAAATTTAATCTGTACATTTTTCCAGTGATGCCCCGATTGGAGATGAGAGCTACACACAGTTTCCCGGAAATACTCGTTTGTGATGACATGTAACCTTTCCCATTTGTGACAAATTGTCTCCCCAAGTGCCTCATTGTTTGTATTGTGCCATGCTTTATCATCATCATCCCACCTTTCGGAATAAAATACAACAATGTCATCCCACCTGTTGGAGTAACTACAACATCGCCATCCCACGTATTGGAGTAAATACAACATCGCCATCCCACGTATTGGAGTAAATACAACATCGCCATCCCACGTATTGGAGTAAATACAACATCGCCATCCCACGTATTGGAGTAAATACAACATCGCCATCCCACGTATTGGAGTAAATACAACATCGCCATCCCACGTATTGGAGTAAATACAACATCGCCATCCCACGTATTGGAGTAAATACAACATCGCCATCCCACGTATTGGAGTAAATACAACATCGCCATCCCACGTATTGGAGTAAATACAACATCGCCATCCCACGTATTGGAGTAAATACAACATCGCCATCCCACGTATTGGAGTAAATACAACATCGCCATCCCACATATTGGAGTAAATACAACATCGCCATCCCACGTATTGGAGTAAATACAACATCGCCATCCCACGTATTGGAGTAAATACAACATCGTCATCCCACATATTGGAGTAAATACAACATTGCCATCCCACGTATTGGAGTAAATATGGCATGGTCATCCCACATATTGGAGTAAATACAACATTGTCATCCCACGCATTGGAGTAAATACAACATCGTCATCCCACGTATTGGGGTAAATACAACATTGTCATCCCACGTATTGGAGAAAATACAACATTGTCATCCCACGTATTGGAGCAAATACGACATTGTCATCCCATGTTTTGGAGTAAATACAACATTGTCATCCCATGTATTGGAGTAAATACAACATTGCCATCCCATGTATTGGAGTAAATATGGCATGGACATCCCACGTATTGGAGTAAATACAACATCGTCTTCCCACATATTGGAGTAAATACAACATTGTCATCCCATGTATTGGGGGAAATATGGCATTGTCATCCCACATATTGGAGTAAATATGGCAGCGTCGTCCCACAAATTGGAGTAAATACAACATCGTCATCCCACCTGTTGGAATAAATACAACATCGCCATCCCACGTATTGGAGTAAATTCGACATCGTCATCTAACGTATTGGAGTAAATACAACATTGTCTTCCCACGTATTGGAGTAAATACAACATAGCCATCCCACGTATTGGAGTAAATACAACATTGACATCCCACATATTGGAGTAAATACAACATTGTCATCCCACAGATTGGAGTAAATACAACATCGCCATCCCATGTATTGGAGTAAATATGGCATTGCCATCCCCCGTATTGGAGTAAATATGGCATGGTCATCCCACATATTGGAGTAAATACAACATTGCCATCCCACGTATTGGAGTAAATATGGCATGGTCATCGCACGTATTGGAGTAAATACAACATCGTCCTCCCACGTATTGGAGTAAATACAACATCTCCATCCCACGTATTGGAGTAAATACAACATCGTCATCCCACGTATTGGGGTAAATACAACATTGTCATCCCACGTATTGGAGCAAATACGACATTGTCATCCCATGTTTTGGAGTAAATACAACATTGTCATCCCACATAGTGGAGTAAATACAACATCGCCATCCCACATAGTGGAGTAAATACAACATCGCCATCCCACATATTGGAGTAAATATGGCAGCGTCGTCCCACAAATTGGAGTAAATACAACATTGTCATCCCACGCATTGGAGTAAATACAACATCGTCATCCCACGTATTGGGGTAAATACAACATTGTCATCCCACGTATTGGAGTAAATACAACATCGTCATCCCACATATTGGAGTAAATACAACATCGCCATCCCACCTGTTGGAATAAATACAACATCGCCATCCCACGTATTGGATGGGACATTGTCATCCCACGTATTGGAGTAAATAGGACAACGTAATCCCATGTATTGGAGTAAAAACAGCATTGTCATCCCATGTATTGGAGTAAATACGACATCGTCATCCCACGTATTGGAGTAAATACAACATTGTCATCCCACGTATTGGAGTAAATACGACATTGTCATCCCACGTATTGGAGTAAATACAACATTGTCATCCCACGTATTGGAGTAAATACAACATCGTCATCCCACGTATTGGAGTAAATACAACATTGTCATCCCACATATTGGAGTAAATACAACATCGCCATCCCACGTATTGGAGTAAATACGACATCGTCATCCAACGTATTGGAGTAAATACAACATTGTCATCCCACGTATTCAAGTAAATAAGACATCGTCATCCAACGTATTGGAGTAAAAACAGCATTGTCATCCCACGTATTGGAGTAAATACGACATCGTCCTCCCACCTGTTGGAGTAAATACAATGTTTTCATTCCACCTGTTATGTGTGTAATAATATACATGTAAACTGTAGGCATTTTAGTGGTAGTTTTCTCAATTTGCCAATATTACTTGTGTAAGTAGGACTTCAGTTTTCTTGTGTTGGTCTTTGTTACACCTGGAAATCTAGAATCTGGTCACCACTGATCTGGTTGTTCCACCACACAATGTTTTACAGGACACAGTGATTTTCTAAACACAGTGGCTCAGCCATTTCCCCTTTAATTAACCTGAGTATCATGGCTTACAAACCACTTCTGCTGGAAACAAAGGTGGCTGGATTATTGATGCTCCACTGTTTATCTTTTAGGTCATTTTAATTCTCATCCATTTTTAAATTGATTTCTAGAAGTGTTAGGTAACTGGTTTTACTGTTTTTCTTTTTAATTTTTTCATTAAAAAAATTGTTATGTTCTATAAAAAAAAAACAAAAAAACCCCCAATAAAATGTACTTCTACTATCAAGACTGTCAATGTAAAAAACGTAACCAGACACATAGAAACAAAGGAAAGTGAAGTCTGAAATTGTGTTTTTCAAAATATTGGAAATTGATTGAGAAATTTATTCATTTGAACATTTTAGATAGTCATTTTTATTATGTACTTTGTTAGTTTTGTTTCTCTGGTATCTTTTTATTCTTCAGATTTTATTTCTAGTCTTCTTGAGGTATTGATTACTTCACCATCTCTTACATATACACATACTTAAGCTGGGATACACAGATTATTTCCCTCTTGCTTACACTTTCTTTTAGAAGGTGTCTCCCTCTAGCTAGCCTGTTAAGACGATATAGGGGACCCATACACAATGTAGTAATCTGTCCTGTTATTCTGTAATATTCATTGAAATGGCACTTTAAAAAATGTCCCCAGATAGGAAATATAGAATTTGCACAGAACAATATAAATGTCACAAAGTGCAAAGGTCACACAGAATATAAATGTCACACAGAATATCAATGTCACACATAATATAGAGAATACACAGAACATTGAGAATATACCAAAATACATAGGTCACACAGAAGATATAACAAAATATATAGATCACACAGAAGATATAACAAAATACATAGGTCACACAGAAGATATAACAAAAAAATAGGTCACACAGAAGATATAACAAAATACATAGGTCACACAGAAGATATAACAAAATACATAGGTCACTCAGAAGATATAACAAAATATATAGATCACACAGAAGATATAACAAAAAACATAGGTCACACAGAAGATATAACAAAATATATAGGTCACACAGAAGATATAACAAAATACGTAGGTCACACAGAAGATATAACAAAATATATAGATCCCACAGAAGGTATAACAAAATACATAGGTCACACAGAATGTAGACATTACACAGAGAGCATGGAGGTCACAAAATACATAGGTCACACAGATGATATAACAAAATACATAGGTCACACAGAAGATATAACAAAATACGTAGGTCACACAGAAGATATAACAAAATACATAGGTCACACAGAATGTGAGATTACACAGAGCATGGAGGCCACAAAATACATAGATCACACAGAAGATAAACAAAATACATAGGTCACACAGAATGTGAGACTACACAGAGAGCATGGAGTTCACAAAATACATAGATCACACAGAAGATATAACAAAATACATTGGTCACACAGAAGATATAACAAAATACATAGGTCACACAGAAGATATAACAAAATACATAGGTCACACAGAATGTAGAGATTACACAGAGAGCATGGAGGTCACAAAATACATAGGTCACACAGAAGAAATAGCAAAATACATAGGTCACACAGAAGATATAACAAATTCATAGGTCACACTGACACATAATGTAGAGATTACACAGAGAGCATGGAGGTCACAAAGTACAAAGGTCACTCAGAATATAAAGGTCACATAATATAGAAATCACACAGAACATAAAGGTCACACATAATACATAGGTCACACAATATATAGATCATACAGAATACAAAGGTAACACAAAATAAAAAGATCACACAGCATATAGAGGTCACATGAACATAAAAGTCATACAGAATACAGAGGTCACACAGAATATAAAGATCACACAGAATACAAAGGTAACACATCATATACAGATCATACAGCATATAGAGGTCACATAGAACATAAAAGTCATACAGAATATAGAGGTCACACAGAATATAGCAGTGACAGCGAATATAGAGCACACAGAACATAGAGGTCTCCCATAATACAGAGGTCACATAGAACATAGAGGTCATGCATAATACAGAGGTCACATAGAACATAGAGGTCATGCATAATACAGAGGTCACATATAACATAAATGTCATGCATAACATAGAGGTCACATAGAACATAGAGGTCACACAGAACATAAAGGTCACCTAGAACATAAAGGTCACATAGAACATAGAGGTTACACAGAACATAGAGGTTACACAGAATATAGAGGTTAAACAGAACATAGAGGTCATGCATAATACAAAGGTCACATAGAACATAGAGGTTAAATAGAACAAAGAGGTCACATAGAACATAAAGGTCACATAGAACATAGAGGTTACACAGAACATAGACGTTACACAGAATAAAGAGGTCACACAGAACATAGACGTTACACAGAACATAGAGGTTACACAGAGCGTAGAGTTTACACAGAACATAGAGGTTACACATAACATAGACGTTACAAAGAATAAAGAGGTCACACAGAGCGTAGAGGTTACACAGAACATAGAGGTTACACAGAACATAGAGGTTAAACCAAACATAGAGGTCACACAGAATAAAGAGGTTGCACAGAACATAGAGGTCACAGATTATAGAGGTCACAAAGAAAATAGAGGTCACACAGAATATAGAGGTCAAACAATACAGCAGTGACACAAAAAAAGAGCACATGGAACATAGAGATCACACAATACAGAGGTCACACAGAACATAGAGGTCACAGATTATAGGTCTCACAAAATGTAGGGGTCACTCAGAATACTGAGGCCACACAGAACAAAAAGGTCACACAGTACAGAGGTCACAAATGATATGACAAATATATTAATGAAGCTAACGGTCTCTATCTTTGTGCCAGATCTATTTAGTTACAATCAATTCTATATCCTAACTTTGGTATTTAGTAGTCATTATACATTTATTGTAGTTATACTTTTTATTTGAAATGTTATACCAGTTGTCATAAAAAGAATTACAATTTGTTTTTAATTCTTGATGCATAATTTAACCAAGAATAAGTTCCTGTGCCAATGTTAGCTAATTATATTTTACCACTGGTAGGCCTAGGTCTGTACTCTGGTACGTACTAGATACCGGTAGCTACCCACATTTCACAAGACTGAGGTTTTGTTTTCTGTGTTAGGTGACTGTCTGAATATATTTGAACAAATCTGTATAGATATTGACAAAGAAGTGTTATATTAATAATGTTGTTCAATTTTATTAGCTCACCTGGCACGAAGTGCCAAGTAAGCTTATGCTGACCCGCGGCGTCCGTCGTCTGTTCGTCGTCCGTCCGTCAACTTTTCCTTTAAACAACTTCTTCTGAAGAATGGTCAGGCCTAGAGTCATGATATTTGGCTGAAAGCTTCATTGGTAGGAGGCCTACAAAGTTGAGAACGAAAATGACCTTGACCTGTTTTCAAGGTCACAGGGGTCAAATATGTCAAAAACTTCAAATGACTTCTTCTAAAGAACTAAAAAGTATAGAATATTCATATTTGGCTGATGGCTTCCTGGGATAGAGCCCAACAAAGTTTGAGAATGAAAATGACCTTGACCTACTTTCAAGGTCACAGGGGTCAAAAGTGTCAAACACTTCAAACGACTTCTCCTGAAAAACTGAAAGGTATAGAATCTTTATATTTGGCTGGTGGCTTCCTGGGATAGAGACCANAAAAGGAATGGATTCATAAGATTTGGCTGGTAGCTTTTGGAATAGAGCTTACCAATTTGAGAAGGAAAATGACATTGACCTACTTACAAGGTCACAGGGAAAAATATGTCAAGCAACTTCTGAAGAATCAAAAAGCATAGAATCTTGTAATAATATTTTGCTGGTAGTTTCAACAGATGGAGCCAACAAAGTTTGTGAGGGAAATATTTTTAGTGCAATATAATATTTAATGAGAATATTTTGCTATGACTGCTTAAATATTCAGGTGAGCGATACAGGCCCTCTTGGGCCTCTTGTTTTTGATGTTTTATGGAGAAGATTATAAAGAAGTGTGCACAAACATTACACATCAAGTTATTTATGCCAGTAAATCATTTAAAAACATTCTAATGTTCAATTCCCCACAAAAGTATACTTATGTACATGTATGTTATTGTTATATGTGAAATACACAGAGAACCTCTAGTCACTATGTATGATGAATGTGTTCCGTTTTCTTGGAGACTGGAGCCCAGTCTGTGCTATTGTTATTATTATGGGTTTTGACACAAAGTTTAAATTGTTAAGAAATTCCAGTAAATAGCGGACCCGGAGTCTGTATCAGCTTACAATTTGTCATTCCTTGTTGTTAGGTTTAGGGAACAATATGTGTGCTATATTACCACCTGGACCATATTTTTACATCTTCAAAAATGTCTTGAATTTTGAAGAAAATCCACTTTACAGTATATTTTGTGAAAGTTTCCTCAATATTGTTCAAACAGTTTGTAAGTTTTAGTGTTGATAAGATACTTTCAAACCTTTAAGATTTTTCATGAAATGTAAAAAAAATAATCAATGTTTACCTTGATTTTATGAAATACAAAAAAAAAATGTAATAGTTTAAGCTATATTTTTTTTTTATAGTTTAAGCTCCATAATTTTTTTAAACCAAGGTTAGAGAAATTCTGCAAATTTCATAAGTCAGATAAAATGAAGGTCAGAGAGGAGTTTAATACGGGAAGCTATTTCTGTTCGTGGACCAAATTACAGGTATCAGACATGATTGAAATCACATTCCAGTAACGTTGGCATATAAAATGTGTTGGATACCGTTTGATAAAAGAGTACTAGAAAATGTATGTAGATTTTGTGTTCAGAATTGTATTAAGCTATGTAAGAGGTAGTTTTGGTTTGTAGAACGATTCACATGAACAATGTCATGTCTTATATTGGATCCTTTTAACTCAAAATGAGGCCAAACCAGACAGCGAGAGCTTACATAGTGCTGTATATATATATAATTTTAAGTACAGAAATGATATGGTATCGTAAGAACAATACATTTCAAGAGATTTCCCCTACTGTGGATGTATTGGGTTGACTTCCAAGACATTTCAAGCTAAAAGGATCCTAATGATTTATTTCTAACTCAAATCTTTCTGAAGTTCTACTGATCATGAGCCAAGTTCACACAGGTGATGAGTGATAAGACTCAGAGACTTTTTGTTTTTATTCCTTTATATTGTTCCAAAAACTGTGGTCAACCTTCTAGACTTTTACAGGATAAAAGGTGTCTTTCATGTGCCTTATTCTATTTCATACAAAAATCAATGGAGACTATTAATTGGTTGGTTTTGTCTTGGTCTACAATGTTGCCTTTTGAATTATTCACCGAAAATAATTGATATTGTGTTGAGAATTTTACAAGCTGTTATTGTGGAAATGCTGTATACAATATTTGTAGCTTGAATACGAAAAACAATTTTCACTATGAATTTCATGTTTTTTTTCTTCGATATTTACATTTGTACTTTTTTTCTCAGGATAAAATCATGATCAAAATACATTCTTGCTTATACATTTACCATTACAACCACCCCCCCCCCCCCCCCCCATCATGCTTCTGACAGGAAGTGAATGTTTTCATTACTAGTTCAATGTGATGCCTTGGTTCCTATGCCAACTGCCATGTCCATACATTATGGGAGGATCTTCATAAAACTGCCGTAGTCCTTAAGATTGTATAGGATTGAGGTATAGCTGCATCAGGTCTGATAGTCCAGATTATAACTACTTGGTAGAAGTGGTCTAGATAACCTTTTTATAGTTCTTGCTAATCAGAAGGACAATTTTGGTTAGACTCCAATGTTATAAGGTTTTCTTTTTAAGTCCATCAAATAGCATATTTTTGCTCTAGAAAGTAGTGAAATTATTTCGTAACCAATTTCAAATACAGTGTACTAATGAGGATGTGTAAGTTCTATGGTATACAAATTTGTACTTTCTGTACAAAAAGTTTTAAAAGCAAAACAGTTATAAAGTTATACACTATTATGTAGTCATATTAGCATAAGAGTAAAAAGTAGTGGAACTACATTAGTTTTTACCCAATTTCAGCATAATTATTTCTATGTCAAATAATTCTTCAAACTGTAAATGAACATGCTGCACTATTTTGATGGTATGGTTTCATATTTTAAGTTATGTAACTATTGAAGTGCCATGCTCCTAGAACTTAAAAAAGGTTAAATACATAAAAGTTAAGTTTAATAGTATTATATAGAGAAATGTGTATTATTCACTAATAGAAAATATATATGTGTATAGTATTTAACATGTAGTTGTCCACTGATAGAGGATAACAGTTAAAAAATCCCAGTAACTGCAATGTAATCACTGCTATCCCAACAGGAAAGATACCTTTAAAAGAAATCAATGTAAAATTTTAACAAATTTGTTATTTAAGATGTAGCCACCAAGTGTTTACTGAGAGATTTTTTGAAGACAAACACATAAACAGTTAAGCCTTATATGTTTAAAATAAATAATTTAAAAAGAAATGTATTCTTTAACCTTATTCACTATATAAAAGATACCTTTGTCTTAGGAAATTATCTAGACCTGGTTCCCTCAAGCCCAATGTATAATATGCATGTCAAAATCTAGTCCTATCCCTGGAAGAATGAATGGAAAGAAAATGTATCAAAAGAATTGTTAGTGTATTCAACATGACTGGCAGCTTTCTTAGAAGGGACATCCTTATTTTTATCACAAGTTCTCTTTGTTTCTTTTACGAGTTGTGTAAATATCTTGGTGTAGATCTTGGCGTATGTTTCATGTTAAGGACTATTTGTTTAGAGAATAATTATTGTAATAATGTTTAGAGATTATTGTAAATGTTCGAGATTATCAAGATATGAATTCTTTTCTTTTTGCAGCAATTTGATTAATTTGTTATTGGAAATAAATATTATCTGATGTTATGAAAACAACACCAGGTCTCGTTTTATATGTTGACAGATAAAGGTTTGCTTTTGTCACAGAAAGCATCAGTGAAATTGTCAGTGTTCTAAGTGGGTCAAGGTCAAACCTACAGCCCACTATCAGCCTTATCTTCATGTTCATTTGTTGAACCAGTTACAGATGTCCATGGAAGCAGTCAAAGTTTTGTTAACATGAATGATATTTACCCACGTGCCAAATTAAGCAAGTTATTTTGTTTTTACCAAAATGTGCAAATTGATCGAATCAGAGTAAAGTGTTCTAATTAATTATGCAATGATTTTGCTCAACTTAGAACTGAACCTGACAGTCTGTGTATATTGCACTTGTTTTTCAAGTTTTATCAAAAAGAAATGTTTTAAGCAAATCATTTTGTGGAAACCAAAGTGTGGTTGGACAGATGGATGTTCCCTTTATTGTAATACATATATGCATCCAGTCAAAATTTTTGACTCGCAAAATGCAATCCTATCAAAGATTCTTGAGAAGCAGTCGAAAAGATTAATTGATGGCAGATGATATTGGACAGCAACGGGTTCGAAGTCAGATAACCTAAACAAGAGGCCCAAGGGCCTTAGCGGTCACCCGAGTTATATCATAGGTACTGGTAGCTTTATTTTATTGTTTAGATGTGATGTGGAAAACAGCATGTAAACTAAGTGAAATACAATGCTAATGTCACGTCATCAAAGGATAAGAATTTTAAAATATTGGTAAATGTTTCCTTTAGGGCCCTGCCCTAGCCTCTGGGGATGGGGCAGGAATACCAATTTTACCAAGCAATACCCTCATTCACCAAAGATGATTCTGACTAAGTTTAAGTAATTTTCTGCTGAAAATGGATAAAATATATACCCAAAAGTGTTATTTCCGGCTCGGGTGTCCTGAAATTGAAAATTTCAATAAAGCTCCTGATGATCTTTCTATCCATGCACTGAAATTGACTGTAGTACCTCTGAGTCTGGAGAGGAAGGTTTTTAAAATATTGGTTAATTTCCCTTTTTGGCCCCACCCTGGCCCCAGGAATCCCAATTTTGTAGCCTCATCTACCAAGGATGATTCTGACCAAGTTTGAAAGAAATCCATCCACTGGTTCTTGAGAAGAAGTTGAAAATGAAAAAAAAGTTTACGCACGACGACGGACAGGAAGTGATTAGAATAGATCACTTGAGCAAAAGCTCAGGTGACCTAAAAAACAAGCAAAGACAATAGTTTTGTAATTTAAAAATATTTAATGACATTTAAATAAAACTTTTCATGTAATTAAATGACCTGACTTTCTTTGCCTACACAATAACGGTGTAGAAACAATATCAACATGGAATACGTAAGTTTGACGTAACTTAATTCCCTGTATCTCTAATTCATTCATCTTTAACAAAATCAGTCTTGTATTGGAAAACTGCATAACAACCAGGACATCTTCTGTTAACAATGAACAAACTAGAGGAGGCGTAAAGCCATGTTCACAAAAGACACGTAGTTCTCATTGACATTGCTATTTGGAAACAAAAATAGGAAAGTCCACCATTTTTGATCCAATAGAGACATGTAACAGATGACTGATATCCAATGTTGAAGCAGATGAACACATTGAGGAGTCTGTTCCAAACCTTCCATAACCCAAGACAAAACACATATACAAATTTCTTTTTGCTGTTGTTGTGACTACACAATGATAGATGACGATGAAGTTAGCGATGCATTCAAGTTATGTCCGTGGTCCTTTATTTCTGATCCCTTTGGCATAAAATGTCGGTTGTCTGTCGGAGGAGGGGTTCTACGTCATCCTGATACTCTGGATGATCTGGAACACCGCTGAAACAAACAGGTAAGTGTGTTTATCAGTGTGATCTGTTATTTCTAACTAATAAAGAATCAAGATTTCTGATGGTTTTTTTTATATCTCATTTCGATGAAGGAACTTCACTTTTACAGATATATACAAAGGTTTAGCACAATTGAAGTTCCTTACAGCTACAGTGCGATTTGTTTACAAGGAACAAATTTGAAATGATGTTTTTCCTGGTAAAGGAATCATGTTGTGAACATAACAAATTCAGTCTACAGCAATCTTATTGATATTGATTACGTAACTTTGGGGTAGGTTTTAACGGATTGGAATAAATTCTTAAACAAGTACTTCCCTGTTAAGCAATACTCCTATATGTATTTATAAGATTAAGCCAAGACTTTATCTTAACTTCTTTTGGATGAATTACTTGCACATATTTGACCAAATACAGAGTTTTGAGGTGACTTATAAAATTTGGGCAATAGGAACTTACCTGATCCACAAACAACAAAGACAAATAATGCTAACAGCCAGGGCCCCACAGGATACTTCTCCTCCGATGGTTTCTGAAAATACACAAAATTATCATTTCATTAATGTTTGTTATGAAATTTCTATTATATACTTTCATTGAATTAAAGAAAAGGCATACCCCTGGTACTTTAAAAGATTTACTTCCTCTACAACATGTCACGAGGCATTAATCACCCAAGGACCACAGGGCTTTGACAGCCTGAAGGCATCCTTGACCAAATGACCAGGATGTAAGGATTGACGAGAATGATTCCATTGTTGTGAACATTACTATATTGCTGGGAGTTATGGTTATTAAACACACTTCCTGGTTGTCCCAAAAACGTTTTGCTATTTTAAATTTCCTTGGGTCAGTACAGTACTAAAATATGTTGCAATTAAGAGTATCAAAAACAAAGAACTCAAGACGCTTAACTTTTGATGCAACCCACTAGTGGGTAAACAAAAATGTGTACTAGCTCCTAGCAGTTATATCCAATGTGTCATATAGCAGCCAGGTGTAGGAAATACTGAAAAGGTTTAGATGTCAACATCACAGCCACAGAAGCAAACTTGAACATAACAGTAAAATGTGTACAGTTTCCGCTGTAAATTAAAACTGAATGATCAGAGGGAATGATAAAGACAAAAACTTATAGTAAATTAAGCATATCAAATTTAAATTTCGCTTTAGTGTTTAGCTATTTACAGGTTGGGCACAACGGCGCATATGGGTAATAATCCTGCATTTCGGTAACAGCAACCCATACAAGGGGTAGGAATATATATATATATAAAGGTAGGCAATACATTATTTTTTTATGATTACATATAATGCTTTCTGCTTAGTAGTTAAGGTTTGATAAATTGACACATTCAACCCCCCCAAAACAATTTATTAAAGGCCTATTTACGTATCATTCATTGGTCATTATCTGAACATAACTAGTCAAGAGGCATGATTTTTGAGCTAAGAACTTGTTGTCTGTATTAATTAGATTCCTTGCATTTGATAAACTATGGAATTAAAATATAAATCACACAGTATGCAGTGCCAGGAACATTTGTGCATTTCATTTGGTTGAATTTATATCATTATAATCTGTCCAGATGGAAATGAGAATTCGTTAAAATGTCTTTGAAAGTGCAAATCATCAGACAGAAACAGCATTATACTATTAACCAAGTACTATTTTTTTCTCTAAATGATCATGAGTAAATAATAATGAATATTTTACATATTGCGACGAATAATCGTAGCAGTCTTATAAAAATATTCCATATATTCCCCCAAATATACAGTATGAGACGGATCTACAATAATGTCTCATTGATTGATGCTTTTAAAAATATTATATGAGGTTTATCAAGCTAACAATGTGCGACAATATTGCAATCACCATATTATCATATACAAAATAAGAACATAAGAGCAAAATATTTCTTGTCAGATATTCAGAAAATGCATCCTCTTGAGATGTATGTATCTAAAAGGAAATATAAAATATCAATAATAAAAGAGCAAACATTAAGATTAAACACCCATCATTATCCCAAACCAGACATAAACAATACAATATGTTTGACATGACACGTAGGGACAAAATCGGGAGCGTCAGGTGTTACAGTCACACGTTATTAAATTCATTCTCACCAAGGACTTTGGAACGTTCCCTCGAGTCGTGATGTTTTTGCTGTGCTTGTCGCTAGCGATTCTCATTCTTTGTTTTGCAGCCATGGTTCTAGAATCCCTTGCTCTCGACGAAAGATGTAGAATGTCAGAGATAGCTGCAACGTCCAAACCTTACGACTTACACGTCAATGTTGTGAAAAGGAAGTTGACCGATTTGCTTTCAATTACTCCGACCAAATAAATAGTGCCTAAATAGAGTTGGTTACCAGACTTTTTAGGCTTTTATTTAAAAGTATCTTATATTTTGCAAAAAAAATGAAACAAAACATTAATTTGTTAAATAGTGTTCACAAAAATGATTAGTATTAGTATAAAAGAACTCGCGTATGAATATTCACCTACGTATTATCGCGAGATTATAACGAGACTTTTCGTGATTTACTCGATCATTCTGAAAAAAGCAGATGTGTTCCGATAGACAAAAATGGCACCTCCCTTGACACGTGAGTTTATCGCGACTTGCTTATCATCGGTTTATGCCATGTAGTGCTTAATATAGTACATATATACGGAGTTGTTGTATGAGAATCTGACTTATCTAATTCAACCTCAAATGAGACTTTACACCAAAACTCCCTATAAATTATTCAATTAATGTTGTAATATAGGAATGGAAAATGACCGGGATTCGAACCAGCGACCCACCGAACTTTAGACGGACGAAGTTTCTGTTGAGCTAACTAAATAAAGATATATTTAGAATCATATATATTAAAATATACTTGAGGATTGACCTTTTTTTATAAAGAAATAACGCAAACTAGCAATCATAAGTCAGCTTTTTAGTCACGTCTGGACCCCTCAATATACTTGCCAAAAATTTCTGAGGTCAGCCTCTGTTCTGATTAGCCTGGGTTTCCGCAGGCCCAGACACCAGATCTATCTATCTGTATGTTATATTCCACCAAGTCCAAAATGGCTTTAATGTGGAGGGGGCCTGAGGATCTGCGCCTGTTGTTTTCTTTCAAGTTCAAATAGTTAAACGGGTTACGCAAAAGGGGCCTAATTACACAATCAAGGTCCTAGTAGCAGCATTAACAATCAATCAGCTGATGATGACCATAATTCCGATAAAAAATAGCCAAGCGCAGTGGGCTCTTATGTTATAGGAGTAAGGTGTCTCCTTGTTAAGCTTTACCAAATGAGCACCTATGATTGACCCAGTCCAGCTCCCCTACATATAGAACATGGTATTAATGTTAATTCCTGGCAATAATAAATAAATCGTCTCGTCAGAAGATACGAGCTGTTGAAAATTTGAAATTGCTTTTCATAGATTAAATTTATCAGAGTAACTCAGTAACCTGCAAAGTTATCATACACATCCTACCTATTAAAAACCTGACCCTTATTGACCCTTTCCACATACACACAGAAATAGTGCATATACTTAAAAGCAAATTAATCAACTGTGGATGCAAGTAGATCTGGACCAGTTGCTTGCAATAAATTGTCCCTTTCCTTATAGCATTCTAGTTCCTCCTAAAGATTCTCTCTTTATCATCTTATTGTCGATCACCTATAGAGTGTGACATATGGGGCCTGTTCGTGTATTTGTCTAAATGTAATATTTCGGGGGTAAAAATTGACGGATTTATGAATGTTAATGCAGGCCTTGAAAGTCTTTGCCAAGGCTTGCCAGTAAATAAATGATCATCTCTGCTTCAACTGCTTGGAACATGATTAACAATTAAAAGCGACCTTGGTAATAGAGTTAACCTCTCTACTGTCTGGGGTTGATATCCTAACTGTTTCTTCCATGAAAAAACAGTTAACTTGCACAGGCGGTTTTCCAGGCCACCTTTCACCTCACCCAATCCCTCACCCTACCCCTCATTAAATTCACATTAAAAAACAGGTATAACACTGTGTCNGGGGGGGGGGGGGGGGGGGGGGGGGGGGAAGGATGTCTGGACAGTCTGGTTCACATCGGTCATAGATTGTGGTACATGTACTTGGGGAAAATGTGTTGCCCTTGTTCTCGAGTCAAAGTTCTGCTATATTTTGGTCATTATTTGTTGCTTGATCTTGTAAAATATTATCGGCCATTTTTACCCTTCTGTAAGATGGAAAAGGTTTCAAGTGCAACTCCCAACATTTTTTTTCTTCTGAAAGTTAAAGTGTCCCAAAGAGATGTAGGGGCTGACTCCCCCCACCACTTTTAGTGCACATCTTTGAAACAGGTGAAATCCTCAGTCATTAACCATATGTACAATTGCTAATAAATGTATGAAAATTAAATACAGATATCCTACCAGGAATATGTTCTGCCCATAGGGAAATAGTCCCGGGGTCATATAACATGGAAATGGTTCAGATACCTACCTTATAACCATATATACAATTGCTGAGTATGAAAATATGGATACACATATAGCTACAAGGATTGGCCTCAGAGACTTGTCCCTGGGTCATAACTTTGAAGTGATTGAGATGTCCACCCATATATTAATACAGATATGCAACTGTGATTTGCCCAGGGTTTGCCCCGCACCCTGGTGACACCGTCTCTGGGTCAAAACATGGAATAGCTGATATACCCACCCTTTTATCAGATATATACATGTACAATCAATTGCTGGGGTTGAAAAGATGAACAAGGTCGTGGTATCAGAATTGACATTTGGGTCTGACTCCACACTTAGTTGCTTAGTCCCAGGGTGATGAACCTGGAAACATTTGAGATTCCTACAATACCCTGTAACAAAACATATACACAATATTGGTGTCAAGTGACCAGCAGTCTCCAATACCTGATCTCATAACATATCAAGGATCCCTGTCCCACTGCACTCTAGTTTTATACATACAGTAGCCCCCCTTAATGTTGTTTTGGGCCATGCCAGGACACTTTCATTGGCCAATCAACTCGGTCGGTTAGGGAGACCGTATAACAAGTCCTGGGTTTGAATCTGATGTCTCGATCTACTTACATGTAACCTTTATATCACAGAATACTACTCATTGTAGTTTGTTTATACCACCTTTATTATTTTTTCGTAAAGTCATAAAAGGAATGGTTTTCTTTACAGAAATTATTTAAAAAAGCTATAGTTATGTTGGGAAAAACTATTTCTCATGCATACTTACAGTTTTTGGCAGTGATACGAGGATCCTTAACAGAAAAGCTATAATCTTTAATCTCCTTGTGATAAATAGTTTTTACAAGTGAGCTATTACAATGTACAGTTTTTAAAGGTGTCAGCATATGCATAAATATTTTTTGCATACATTGTAATTAGTTTAGGACAGAAAGTATAGTACTATGACCTCCATAGAAAATTAATTGAAATTTAACAATGAAGTTAACATTGCTTTCCATGGAGCTCCGTTCATTGCTCAAACATTGATAATGTATTTGTTACATATATAATATTGTAAGATTCCTTCATGCTCAGGGGTGTAGGATACGGAAATTCTGTCCTCTGGATTTTCAAATTTGGCAAAACCCTCGGCCGAGGGTGGAATTTCCCTATCCTACACCCTTGGTATTTTTCTCTCATTCCACCTACCAGAATAAGCTCAGAAACCAGGAAAAGGTTTTTAATTTCATCACGTCGCCTTTTCCGCATTGCGGCATCGGAGAGTTCCAAATTTGTAATGTTGGCTATTGTCGAGCCATTGTGACGCCATGTCACATGAAATGGGGTGTAAGATTGAAATTTCCTGCACCCCTTTCTTACCCTGGACAGCTCTATCTTACACACATTGAAATGAGAGAAATATATATCTTGCTGTTGCAGTTCGTGGCACCGATGGAATATGGATGGTCAATGGACCGCCAGATATTGGAACAGCCGCACAGTTCCCAGGGTACGTCATTTTTATATGCTGGTCTTGATGAGATATGTAGTTAGGTATTACTATGATTTTGTCTGGTCGTAAACTTACTGCCAAGATTATTTGTCAATCAAATTTTATCTGATAACTTTAAAACCTGATAGGCAATTCCTACTTCATACACAATTTGATCTGCAATAACACTTTGTTAATTTTATGGCTTTGACAACTCCTACACTTTGCTTTAAAAGCAGATTATGATATGTATCTGTACATTTTTATTTGTCTTGATGGGAAATGCCAAAGGAAAAGAACTTCATGGAGCTTAATATATGTTTGATCATAAGACAACGGGGTACCATCCTCCTGTATCTGTCGGGACGCTTTAATTAGGCACTAAGTCAAAGGTCACAGTTCAAATTTTTACAAGTTCTAACTCAACTTTTCTGTTGATTTGGATACTAGATTTTAAATTTGGTCCGTGCATCACTTTGATGTTTTGTGGTGAACATGCACAGGAAACAGTAATATTTAGATTAATTTGAGTGTTCAGACGGTGCGATGTGTTTTATAGGGAGAAGTCAAAGTGTCGGTGTATGGCCTACAGTAATGATGGATCTCGTCTTGCCTGGTGTACTGAGGATCAGTGAGTACAATTATTCTTGACTTGAAATTGCTTGAAACATAATTTTGGTGACTAGCTCAAATGTCTAAGAATTTCCCTATTTACCAATGCATCTGACATAAAAAAATGAAGGAAAAAAATGAGTTAACAGATTACGTTTTTTGCTCAAAACGATACTTTCATTTAATATCACACTGCATAGGAAATAACTGCATAGACAACTTAGTATATGACTATCGCCTCGGTCAATATCAGAGCATACATTCACCAAGTAAAAAGTCCATAATTGTATAATATCTGTTAAGGCCTTAATCCCAGCCATGCTTTCATGGTCAATTAATTACATTGTATAATTTTCATCTCTGATACAATATAATAATGAATCTGACTCTTTGTTTTGTGTTTCAGGCTCACCATTATCAACACAACCTCTTTTAAAAACGTTTTCCAACTTGACATCAACAAGGTCGTGTGTATGAAGTTTTCTCCCAAGGCGACAATACTGGTGATGTGGCAGAATTACACCGGTAAGTCTCTCACTCAAGTTAGCTCTGAAAAATGATGTTCGTTATTTTGAAAAACCATAGAGGAGTACTCAGGACAGTGACAATAAGTATAGCACTAACATTCATGTTACTACTGTTTATCTGATTTTGCAAAAGCACCATCCAAAACAAAGATTTTAGAGTTGGCTATGAAGTGTTATATATAAAAGTAAATGCAATGACTTTAAAAAGCCGTTTTAATGCAGATTTAAACTATTCTGAATTATCTAATGATACTAAGCACTTTGGTTACTCCGTGCAGGTTTGGAGAATGAGTATGCTTGCTGACTTATGTGCCCCACTCCCCAGTATAGGTTACTCCATGCAGGTTTGGAGAATGAGTATGCTTGCTGACTTATGTGCCCCCACTCCCCAGTATAGGTTACTCCGTGCAGGTTTGGAGAATGAGTATGCTTGCTGACTTATGTGGCCCCACTACCCAGTGTAGGTTACTCCATGCAGGTTTGGAGAATGAGTATGCTTGCTGACTTACGTGCCCCCACTCCCCAGTATAGGTTACTCCATGCAGGTTTGGAGAATGAATATGCTTGCTGACTTATGTGGCCCCACTCCCCAGTATACTCAACAAAGATAGAGAAGTAATCAAACTCTGTGAGTTTGTCCCTATATTAAACCTGACATAACTGGACAGCTGTAATCTAACAACAGTACACCAGAAGTAATACAATATTCAGTTTTATCTGACTGTAAATTGATGTTTTATTTCAATTTGTGTATTTCAGTTAACCCGGAAACTAAACAAGGAAACCCGAACCTACACCTATACGACATCACCACAGGCGTCATGCTCCGCAGCTTCATACAGAAAAAACAGAAAAACTGGTCAGTCAACCATTATACTCCTCATGGCCTTATTACAGGTCAGAGTCAGGATTCCATTATACTCCTCAGGGCCTTATTACAGGTCAGAGTCAGGATTCCATTATACTCCTAAGGGCCTTATATTATTACAGGTCAGAGTCAGGATTCCATTATACTCCTCAGGGCCTTATTACAGGTCAGAGTCAGGATTCCATTATCCCCCTCGAGCCTTATTACAGGTCAGAGTCAGGATTCCATTATACTCCGAAGGGCCTTATATTATTACAGGTCAGAGTCAGGATTCCATTATGCTCCTAAGGGCCTTATATTATTACAGGTCAGAGTCAGGATTCCATTATACTCCGAAGGGCCTTATATTATTACAGGTCAGAGTCAGGATTCCATTATGCGCCTCAGGGCCTTATTACAGGTCAGAGTCAGGATTCCATTATACTCCTAGAGCCTTATTACAGGTCTGAGTCAGGATTCCATTATACTCCTCAGGGCCTTATTACAGGTCAGAGTCAGGATTCCATTATGCTCCTCAGGGCCTTATTACAGGTCAGAGTCAGGATTCCATTATACTCCTCGAGCCTTATTACAGGTCAGAGTCAGGATTCCATTATACTCCTCAGGGCCTTATTACAGGTCAGAGTCAGGATTCCATTATACTCCTCGAGCCTTATTACAGGTCAGAGTCAGGATTCCATTATACTCCTCAGGGCCTTATTACAGGTCAGAGTCAGGATTCCATTATACTCCTCAGGGCCTTATTACAGGTCAGAGTCAGGATTCCATTATACTCCTCAGGGCCTTATTACAGGTCAGAGTCAGGATTCCATTATACTCCTCAGGGCCTTATTACAGGTCAGAGTCAGGATTCCATTATACTCCTCAGGGCCTTATTACAGGTCAGAGTCAGGATTCCATTATACTCCTCAGGGCCTTATTACAGGTCAGAGTCAGGATTCCATTATACTCCTCAGGGCCTTATTACAGGTCAGAGTCAGGATTCCATTATACTCCTCAGGGCCTTATTACAGGTCAGAGTCAGGATTCCATTATACTCCTCAGGGCCTTATTACAGGTCAGAGTCAGGATTCCATTATACTCCTCAGGGCCTTATTACAGGTCAGAGTCAGGATTCCATTATACTCCTCGATCCTTATTACAGGTCAGAGTCAGGATTCCATTATACTCCTCGAGCCTCACGATAAGATGTACGTTATCTACATGTATGATGTCATCACATAATAAGGTTTTCTCTCTTACAGGGATCCAAATTGGACAAAGGATGAAGGCGTTTGTTGTCGAAATGTTAACAATGAACTCCATTTTTTTGAAAACAACAAATTTGGTGAGCATTCGATGTCAGTTGTGTTTATATGATATAGATGACTTGTTTTCACTTTCATACAATCATTAGATTGGTATTTATATTACAGATTCGTATTGAAACTACAGTTATGTATATTATAGAATTATTGTTTTGGAAATGTTAACTCTATGTATTAATGTTCACAGTAAAATTTTGGCCTCATTAGGGCCCTTATTAATGAGAGTAATAAGGCAAAATTTAGACCGCAGCGGAAACTTCAACAGTATTCCTTGTATTATAGAGCTGTGTTTTAGTAAGATGTTAATACTGTAGTAGTTTAGTGTTTTTGTACAGTTATCAAAACAAACAGGCAGAATTTTGTCAAGCATATCCTCAGTAAGAACAAAGCTACCAGTTGTATCAAGCAAAGAATGTATTGTAGAAGTACTTTTTCAGATGAGATCAAAGTGAAGTTGTTGATGCAGAAGATATCGGAGTACAGTCTGGCGGAGAGTGATCCTCCATACGTGGTGGCTGGTTATGTACCTGGAGCCAAGGTGAGATTTACCAGGGGTTTTTTCCCTTAGTTTTATAGATGGATATAGGCTGCTTCCCCTAAAAAGTGCTTTATTGTCCCAAAATGAAGAAAAATTGAGGATTATCTTCCCAATTTCAATAAAGATAAAAATATCAATTCCCTATTTTCCCAATTTATGTAGGAACAGGTTGTTGCAAAATTTAGGTAGAAAAATATGCTGTTAACCCTTTCACCACTTTAGACCATAATGGACTTATCCATATCAAGGCATGGTAGAGTTTCTGCATGCATGTGACAGTGGAGAAATGCCAGCAAAGGAGTTAACACATAATACTAGAGGCTTAGATTATATATAGATAGAATGTTTAACACAGTACTTTGTATGTTTCAGTGCTCGCCATCCTTTGTTAGAGTTAATGTTTAACACAGTACTTTGTATGTTTCAGTGCTCGCCATCCTTTGTTAGAGTTAATGTTTAACACAGTACTTTATATGTTCCAGGGCTCGCCATCCTTTGTTAGAGTATATGTTTAACACAGTACTTTGTATGTTTCAGGGCTCGCCATCCTTTGTAAGAGTTAATGTTTAACACAGTACTTTGTATGTTTCAGGGCTCGCCATCCTTTGTAAGAGTTAATGTTTAACACAGAACTTTGTATGTTCCAGGGCTCGCCATCCTTTGTAAGAGTATATGTTTAACACAGTACTTTGTATGTTTCAGGGCTAGCCATCCTTTGTAAGAGTTAATGTTTAACACAGTACTTTGTATGTTCCAGGGCTCGCCATCCTTTGTAAGAGTATATGTTTAACACAGTACTTTGTATGTTCCAGGGCTCGCCATCCTTTGTAAGAGTATATGTTTAACACAGTACTTTGTATGTTTCAGGGCTCGCCATACTTTGTTAGAGGTATTGTTTAACACAGTACTTTGTATGTTCCAGGACTCTACATCCTTTGTTAGAGTTTATGTTTAACACAGTACTGTGTATGTTCCAGGGCTCGCCATCCTTTGTTAGAGTATATGTTTAACACGGTACTCTGTATGTTCCAGGGCTCGCCATACTTTGTTAGAGTTTATGTTTAACACAGTACTGTGTATGTTCCAGGGCTCGCCATCCTTTGTTAGAGTATATGTTTAACACGGTACTCTGTATGTTCCAGGGCTCGCCATACTTTGTTAGAGTTTATGTTTAACACAGTACTGTGTATGTTCCAGGGCTCGCCATCCTTTGTTAGAGTTAATGGTTAACACAGTACTTTGTATGTTCCAGGGCTCGCCATCATTTGTTAGAGTTTATGTTTAACACAGAACTTTGTATGTTCAAGGGCTCGACATCTTTTGTTAGAGTATATGTTTAACACGGTACTCTGTATGTTCCAGGGCTCGCCATACTTTGTTAGAGTTAATGTTTAAACAGTACTTTGTATGTTCCAGGGCTCGCCATCATTTGTTAGAGTTTATGTTTAACACAGTTCTTTGTATGTTCCAGGGCTCGCCATCCTTTGTTAGAGTTTATGTTTAACACAGTAATTTGTATGTTCCAGGGCTCGCCATCCTTTGTTAGAGTTAATCTTTAACACATTACTTTGTATGTTCCAGGGCTCGCCATCTTTTGTTAGAGTATATGTTTAACACGGTACTCTGTATGTTCCAGGGCTCGCCATACTTTGTTAGAGTTTATGTTTAACACAGTACTGTGTATGTTCCAGGGCTCGCCATCCTTTGTTAGAGTATATGTTTAACACGGTACTCTGTATGTTCCAGGGCTCGCCATACTTTGTTAGAGTTTATGTTTAACACAGTATTTTGTATGTTCCAGGGCTCGCCATCCTTTGTTAGAGTATATGTTTAACACGGTACTCTGTATGTTCCAGGGCTCGCCATACTTTGTTAGAGTTTATGTTTAACACAGTACTGTGTATGTTCCAGGGCTCGCCATCCTTTGTTAGAGTTACTGTTTAACACAGTACTTTGTATGTTCCAGGGCTTGCCATCCTTTGTTAGAGTTAATGTTTAACACAGTACTTTGTATGTTTCATAGCTCGCCATACTTTGTTAGAGTTATTGTTTAACACAGTAATTTGTATGTTCCAGGACTCTACATCCTTTGTTAGAGTTTATGTTTAACACAGTACTTTGTATTTTCCATGGCTCGCCATCCTTTGTTAGAGTTAATGTTTAAACAGTAATTTGTATGTTCCAGGGCTCGCCATCATTTGTTAGAGTTTATGTTTAACACAGAACTTTGTATGTTCAAGGGCTCGACATCTTTTGTTAGAGTATATGTTTAACACGGTACTCTGTATGTTCCAGGGCTCGCCATACTTTGTTAGAGTTTATGTTTAACACAGTACTGTGTATGTTCCAGGGCTCGCCATCCTTTGTTAGAGTATATGTTTAACACAGTACTTTGGATGTTCCAGGGCTCGCCATCCTTTGTAAGAGTATATGTTTAACACAGTACTTTGTATGTTTCAGGGCTCGCCATACTTTGTTAGAGTTAATGTTTAACACAGTACTTTGTATGTTTCAGGGCTCGCCATACTTTGTTAGAGTTATTGTTTAACACAGTACTTTGTATGTTCCAGGACTCTACATCCTTTGTTAGAGTTTATGTTTAACACAGTACTTTGTATGTTCCAGGGCTCGCCATCCTTTGTTAGAGTTAATCTTTAACACATTACTTTGTATGTTCCAGGGCTCGCCATCTTTTGTTAGAGTTCATGTTTAACACATTAGTTTGTATGTTTCAGGGGGCGCCATCCTTTGTTAGAGCCTACCAGTACCCAAACTTCGGGGGCCAGCAGGCTGCTTTGGCCAGTAAAAGTTTTTTTAAGTCGGACACTGTGACGATGCACTGGAATGGTACTGGCACTGCTCTACTAGTCCTCTCCTCCACAGAAGTCTCCGAGCAGAGCTATTACGGTGACCAGGGCCTTCATTTTATATCGACACGCGGGGAAAGCTGTCTTGTACCTAGATGTAGGTTACAACATTGATTTAGTCAATTCATCTTCTTTATATAGAGAAAGCTGGTAGTATGTCAAAATTTAGTCTTTTTTTATAATAGTTTTCAAAAGGAATGACAAGATTGATGAGCTGTCTTCATCTTTCTGTCCCAAGTACAAATAACCTAGTATACACTAACCATGAATACTGTGCATCATGTAACCCATCAATTTCCCCCAAAAAATGGACATTTTACTAGAAAAATATATTAAATTGTATTTGTATTAAACTTTCGAACAACTCCTTCTTCAGAACTGCAATGCTAAGAATCTTGATATTTGTCATTTATGCTCGCTCTCTGGGAAAGAAAGACATCAGATTTATTCAGCTTAATGTTTATGATTTTGATGATGATAAATTGTGATATACAATGTACTTGCTTATTTCAGCTAAGAACGGCCCTGTTTACCATGTAGAGTGGAGTCCTAAGTGTACTGACTTCTGTGTCGTCTATGGGTGTATCCTTATCTCTGCCACAGGCAGACCTGCTTAATGGCTTCACAATAGAAGGTGTATCAAGTCTGGAATTTATTTATAAGAGCAACATCAGGTACTGTTAAGCACATAGCTGTCATGGTATGAACCTTTTGCAATTTAATGATTTTAACCAGTTCACAGAATTTACATTTCTAATTGGTACAGCTGTTACTATGTGTGCATTCATATATGTACTTGGTTCCCAAAAGAAGCAAAGTACAAGTACCAACATATTTTCAACACACATCAAAATTCTGTGAATACGGTGCATATTGTTTGCCAGAAAACAGTTACAAAGTCTATTATTACCATCGAGTTGCTAGCCATTTTTACTGCAGCCATTTCAGTTTACAAAGAGTACATGTCTCGGTCACCAAGATGTTTGTTACCACTTATTTGTTAATCCTTGTTTTAGATGTTAATCATTTACAGATTTCCTTAACTTCACTCAGTCATGCCAGCAAAGGCCACATTGTACAACCTCAAGTCAGAGCCCCTGTTTGACTTCGGAACGGGGCCTCGTAACGTAGCTTACTTCAATCCTCAGGGATCTAATATCCTTTACTGTTACTCTGTCATGGATGACAATATATGTAGCGGTGTATGAAGTGGATTCTACAAGAAAGTCACTAATAAAATCTCTCACCCCCTTGAGCCGAGTGTTTGGCAACTTAAGAATCTTTCCCCGAGGGTTGAGATTCCCCTATGTCACCAGCAAGGGGTAAATGATTCTTTTTCTCTTACCTTGTTCTCCTATTGTGTATCATATTCACAATGTAATGATAACGTTACATGCTAAATTCAGGGTTGACGTGACGTTGATGGATTGTTGACGTGACGTCATTGTATTGTTGAAGTGACGTCATACCATTGTTATGAATTGGGGAATTCCCCGTCTGAACCCTAGGGTGAGACAAGGAAATCTCACACCGGTAAAAGTGTGGATAGACCCGTCCAGGGTAAGAGAAAAAGTTATCACTAATACAGTGCTAGATTGTAGTAAGGGTTGTTCCAGAGTTAACCTTTAGGGTGGGGGTTGGAGGCACTTTTCAGAGACCCCTTCACCCATAAAATCCTAAAAGTGATTTATTATAAGGAATGGTAGGCAGATCTCGGCTGCTTTCGTTTATTGCAATTCAAACAGTTGGACTGGTTCGTCTATAAGGTCGGACCTAGTAAATTTATGCAGCTTTGAGATGTGCCTTAACAAAGCCTTTAAAGGCCTGCATAAACATTTGCAGGTCCACCAGGATTTATATCCGAAATGTTAAATTTAAAAACAGACAAACAGGTTGTTCTGCATAAACGAACAGGCCCCTGGTACATACAGATCCCTCCAAGATCCCCATACGATAAATTATGGAACAGCCCCAACATAGTCTGTTATAAGATTCCTGCTTTAATTAGTAACAGAAGTCTGCTTTCGAGCTCAGGTTAACCTGTTGTATTGTATGTTCATTTTATTGTTGCTAACATTGATTATAAAATGTCTGTACCCTGAGAGTGACATAGGAAATTCTTCACCTGAAGGGGTAATATTCAGCATGAAGTTCTGCCAAAGTCTGATGTTTTGGTATCTCCCCCTGGGTTAAGATTTTCTTTTCAACTCCTAAAGAGGGGAGCAAGTGTTTGTTTAATATCCCCAAAAATGATGTCTGGGTTAGGTTGGGTTGGGTTGGGGGAGTAACCTTTTTATGCAAGCTGACTAGGTATAACATGAGGTTATTAGATTAGAAAGGCGATGATCAAATGTTCATGTAGCTTGTCTTCACACTAGGGGTTGACAGAGAAATCAAGCTAAATTGGGAGACAAAAAAGTGAAGTGTTGGATCAAGTATTATCAATGATGACATCTATTATAAACTTATTTCTGATCACAGTTTAATGACTTACCTATTTATGTACTACAGTCTGATGGTGTTTCTGATGGTTCTGTTTTATTATGTTGTTAAATATGAGGACATTGTAAAAACATTGCTAGTTGTTGATGAGATTGCTGCATGTGTTTTGATATTCCTTAACCACTCACTCCTCTGCTTGGCTGGATTTGGAAATCTCAGTGGTAACCTAGAGTTTTGGGACACGAAACAACGCAGGCTGATCTGTCAGACTAAAGCACCAGATACCACAGTGTTTCAGTTCCACCCAGACGGGGAACACTTTCTCACAGCTACCACTTCACCGCGACTAAGGGTTGGTAACGGGTAAGATCATCTGTTGTTATTCTGTGTTATTTTGATAGAGTGCAATAGTTTATACGTCCAGGAACTTTTGACTAACAATTTTGTCTATAATTAGTTTCTGACGTAAAATAATTGAAAATTTGAAAGATTTTACTGTTGATTTGCAGAAATGGATTTTATTTAAAATTATTCACAGGCTTTTGTTTCACTGATGACAGTAACACGTTTATAAGAAACCAAAGAGCCTAAGAAATACTATTTTCCACATGAACAATATTGAGGTTTGTAGTGTTTGATATGTAAAATGTCTGCTGTTGTTTTGAATTTGTTTATTCTTCATGATGAGAAACCTCAAAGTATAACTGCTGAGGAATTACTATGTATACAATGTATGACCTCTGACTGTTTTAATTGAACTTGCATGTGTATAGGTACCGTATATGGCACTTCACGGGTTCGCTGCTGCAGCAGGTCAATGTTGGCAGTGATAAGGAATTATTAGAGATTAAGTGGCAGCCTGTCGCGGAGGGAACCTTCCCAGAGCGAGTCCTCAACTACAAAGCTGCGCAGGCCATGGCAGCAGAGGTGAACCCAGTAGCCGGAGGTAGGTTTCACCAGAGGTCAGGTCATAGGACAAAGGTCAAGAATAATCTATACCTGTAAGATCAGTTATGTAGTCTTTTTCCTTAGACAGGAAGTGTATATGTCAACTTTTAGGAGTGTAATAGAACTATTTGATGTAATTGAAACCTAGGGTGTTTTAGTCATTCAGAATAGTGACTTTTATGTTACAGTAAAAGGTGGTGTTTATCGTCCCCCTCAAGCCCGGGGCACAGAGCCGTCATTCAAGCTACATGACTATGAGGCTCCGTCGGACCCTAACAAGAAACAGCCAACAGACACTAGTAAGTAGGATGATTATGTGGATCAGACAAACTGAAATGTAAAGATATCCCAAAACTTGTCATTTTACTTCCTTTAGTGCAAGCTATGTGTTCTAAATATGTAGTGTTGACAAGCTTCTCTTGTTTTTTGAAAGTTTGAGTTATAAATTTATTTTTTACTTTTTATTAAACCTGATGTTTCCCCTTTCCAGTACACATACTATATCCAGAAAATTGGAGGGTAGGCAACACAAATTTTCATCGAGCAACTTTTTTTTTCAGCTGAAAATAAATCTGCAAGTAAAAATAAGAAGAAGAGGGAAGCAAGAAAGGCAAAGATGGCTCAATCAAATGAAGAAGGAGTAAGTGTTTACTAATTTCTGTGTAAGATTTGTTCTGTCAGCCTGAAATGGTGTAGTTCTTAATGATTGATCCTATAACTTTCTGATAAATTGCCTTAAAGAATAAATCAGGTTATGACTTGTTTGCAGAGTGAAGCCTCATGTCCTACCCCATCGATGTCATCAACCCCAGCATCGGCCATGGGAGCAGTTGTCTCACAGGCGCCCTCTACTGGTGACCCTGATAAGGATAAGAAGGCTCGCAACCTCAGAAAGGTAAGCACGGACATAGTTTGCATATATCTGATAAGGCCTGCAATCTCTAAAACTGATGCATACACACAGGCCGGAAACTATGAGATTAGACAGTGTCCTATACCAGTCTTCCGGTCCAAACTAAGGTTTTGACAAGGTGTCAAAGCTTCAATAACTACAACGAGTGTCCTTGCAAAATAACTTCTGATTTACTAAGATTTTCTTTTTCATAAACTTCATAAAAGATGTACTTTGATTAGACAAGTTGTCCGGATACCCCTAATACTATCAAAATGTTTGTATGCTTCAAAAATTCTATAAAGGGGATGACCGTGATGTATGGAACATTGCTAGGTTGTAATTATGTTGTATGTCAAAATTATCAGGTTTAGCCAAACAACTTTGGATTGAATCAGTTCTCACTAAAGGGTTTCCACTGAAGCACTAACAGTTAAAGTCCGTTGTTATAAACATGTTTCTTGCAAAATTTTGTTTAAGGTAATAGGATTGTGTCACCATTTCTCAGTAGAATTTCTTGAAATTTTGTAGTTTATCTTTGAATTAAAGAAATTTTTCTGCCACAAAAAAAATATAGGTTGTCACAATTTTAAGGATTTTAAATGGAAATTTATGTAAAAAGGAGTGAATTTTGAAGAAAGAAAAAAATGAAACACATTTTTTTCCAAAATAATGTCAATAAAAATTATATTGACATAGATTAGTATTGCATTAATGTATATCAACTTAATAAATGGTGAAATTGTGTAAAATTAATTATCTATAAACGATTAAAAATTGACATTTTATAATAAAATCATATACACATAGTAATTGCAGGTAAGAGTTATCGTTCTTAAAAAAACTTCACAGTAGTGAAATAGGTAGCCGGTTTCCTGAAGTACAGAAAAATGGACACATTTGACTCATCGATAAAAAACAACTTCTTCTTCTTTATATACGAGGGCTCCATCAGTTTGATGATTATGCCATCGGGGGTCCTATTGTAGAGGCGTGAAGGGGTTATTTATAGTGATTAGGGGTGGGGTTTATTTTTTTTGTGAGGGGTTTATATTTTTTGTGATTTTTTTTGTGTAAGGTATAGATAAAAAGTTAAAATCTAGTGTATGTACTAGTGTGTGATGAGGGCTTCAAGGGCTGTGTAGGGTAAGTGTGCCTTGAAGTCCTCTAGTGTTGTGCATTGGACTGCTGCTAAGGGGAGGAGATTCCATTGTGTTACTGTGTGTGGGAAGAATGAGTATTTGTAGGTGTCCTTTGTAGCAGATATGTGTTTGTATGCGTACGGGTGTACCTGTCTGGTGCGGGGGTCTACAGGTGTGAGTATATGTGTTGGGTTTAAAGCTACGATTCTGTGTATAATTTTGTAAAAAAGGATAATTCTAGTGTATAAGCGTCGTGTTTGTAGTGTTGGCCATTGAAGTGTGTGGATCATGTCTGTTACGGAACTAGTGTTGTGGTATCTGTTTTGTACGTAGCGTGCTGCTCTTCGTTGTGTTTTTTCTATTTGTTTAATTTGGTTTGTGTTGTGTGGATCCCAAATGGAAGAGCAGTATTCAAGTTTGGGCCTAACTAGTGCTTTGTATGCATGTTCTTTTATATGTGGTGAGTTTATTTTTAGGTTGCGTTTGAGAAAACCTAGGGACCTATTGGCATTGGCTGTGATATTGTTTATGTGTTTGTCCCATCGTAGGTTGTTTTGTAGTGTTAGTCCTAAGTATTTGCTTGTTTCTACTTTGTGTAATGTGTGGTTGTGGAGTTTGTAATCTTGGTGTATTTTGTTGCGTTTCGGTGTAATGTTAAGAATGTTTCATTTGTCGGGGTGAAATTGCATTAACCAGTCTGTCTCCCATTGTCCTGCTGCATCGAGGTCGTGTTGTAGTTTTAATGTGTCTTCTTTGTTGTTTATTGTCTTGTATATTATGCTGTCATCTGCAAATAGTCTAACTGAATTAATGCCTGGATTGGTTTGAAATACTTTAATACACACACACTGTTCTGTCAATAATAATCATACAATATTCATCAGTTTAATATTAAACATTAGAATATGCAGAAATTGTGATACTGTCTCCCTACATTGGATTTTCAGCTAGGGATGTACTTCCTATTTCCGTTTATCAATACACTCCTATGACCTTAAAATGAAGTCCTATAATTGTCTGTTTGAAGGACATTGACTCAGGTACACCAAACACTATGTAAATATTTGGCTTAAGTGGAATCATTTCTTTAGTCCCCCGTGTATAACCAATATTTTACTCGATAATTATGTAATTTGAAAACTGCAATTTTCTTTGTAAGGAAAGAGACGGTATATTTGACTGATATGTTTATACCATTACAGAAGCTGCAAGCCATACAGAAACTGAAAGAACAGAAGGCTGCAGGAAAACCGCTGGAACTGAACCAGGTAGAGATGTGTATACTGTAAAGATAATGAACTCTGTGCATAGTCCAATTATATAAACAAACATTTGTTATTGTGTTCATTTAGGGCTAAACAATGTGCTAAAAAGATATTAAAAAAAGAATAGATCAGGTTTAAACTAAGTGTTTTAAGATGTATATCCTATATTGTTGTTAAGATTAACTATATAAAATATATTAATGATCATCACAGTGAAATTGCATCAATTTTTTCGTAATTTGTGTGTTATATAATTTGTCATGCTATTATTTAAAGTCAGTGTGTTCATTCACCATTGTGAAATTATCATATTTTTGTAAAACATTGATATAATTTCATTTCAGATTGAAAAGCTGAAAACAGAGGACACACTGGTAGCAGAGCTATCAGCACTGGGTCTAGCTGATGACTGGAGTTGATCTTAGGAGGTTTTGTCCATGGTCACTTAAATAAAACACACAGTTACAACCTGGATTGTTTCCCTTTGTTGATCTGCATTGTTTAAGCCAAGCCAGTGTTCAACCATACCTGTGATATCAATGTATTCAATAAAATTTGAAACATACTTGTACATTGCATGATTTTTCCTCTTCATAAACTGCTGGTATTCATACAGAGTCTGGTGGCTCATTAGGGATATCTTCACCATTATGTCTTGGTAGGTAACATCATTTCCTAGGATACCTTCAGGACTGTGTAACATCAACAGCAAATTGTGAGCCAGTTGTGATATTTTCATCATTATCATGTCTTCTTGGTGTTAACTGTAAATAATTTCCTTTTTTTGTTGGGGGGGGGGGGGGGGGGGATTAAATTTATTTTGCATTAATTCACAAAGACTCCAAGAGGCTCCCTTAGCAAAATTTAATGTGAATATTAATTCAATTCATATGTACCATCAATACTGAGGTAGAACCCTCTCAATCAGGAATTCAAGTATTTGCAAACAAAACCGAGACGTATGGTTAGTTTGTGGTGTAATAGAGAGATTTACTGAATGTTTGGGGATCTGTTACTTTCCTCAGCAACATAAGAGATAACATCATGATATATGCATTTCTTTAAAACCGACACTATATCAATTTAAAAGTCTAGTATATGCTATATGAAGCAGTCATTTTATTGGTGTGTTGTCCAGACTGGACATTACCCGATATAATCCCGCACATGTATGTGTGTTATGATTAAATGGTTTGTTTCATTTCACCTCCCTTCATACCGAAGTCCAATCACTACACAATGGATGTCCGCATCACAAGTCTTCATTGTTCAACGTTATCCAACTTAACAGATATATTTGGGAGTGATTTACCACACATATGTCCATACACCCAAGGTCACTTGCTTTCCTATTCACTCTTTTTGGCAGTCATCTTCCAAGGAACCATCGTCAGAATAATATGACCAGATGGGGTGTCCAGCTAACGTATGAAGGTTGGTTAAATGACACTTTAAAATGTCATCTGTTAGCACCATCTTAGAATGACCTTACCTGTTGTACATCTGTGAGCACCATCTCAGAATGACCTTACCTGTTGTATATCTGTGAGCACCATCTCAGAATGACCTTACCTGTTGCAACGACACCCAATTCCTTAACAACGGGATCCAAAACCTGTAATAATGTATCCTTAATACCTTTTATGAATCTTGTCTGTATTGTGATCAGATTGTGTTATGCCTTATATCAGATCTTGCTCTAAACTTTGTGCTGTAATGCTTTAAAAGTCGGTACACAAAAAGTGCTAAAATACATATCGGTACAATCCTTGTTGTCTATGATTTTGTTTTTGTCATTTCTATATATGTAATACTGACTTGATTTCAACTGAAAAATCATGAACTTTAAAGAGCATAGTGCCACCTCTTTGAGGTAAGTGAAATGATATAACCATGAGGGTCCCTTGATTTTTTGTCGAAACAAAGTCACAAATAACACTCAAACCCGCTTCGAATCCCAAGAGACAAGTTTGTCACTCCAAATACACAAAGGGGGATTACTCTGTAAATGATTAATGTCTTCTATAAATACACGGAGGGGGATTACTCTGTAAATGATTAATGTCATATAAATACTCAAAGGGGGATTACTCTGTAAATGATTAATGTCTTCAATAAATACACAAAGGGGGATTACTATGTAAATGATTAATGTCTTCTATAAATACATGAAGGGGGATTACTCTGTAAATGATTTATGTCATAAACACACAATGGCAAAAAATTGAATTGTGTGGAAACACTCAAAAGCTGGAAAGCAAGCTTAAGTGTAAAAGGCAACAGCCTGTCTCGATTTTCCGTAGTAAAATACAAGTTTTTTCCCCCAATATCTTGGTGTACCATCTTTTACCTTCTGTTATATTTTTATGTCAATAGTCTGGACTTACCAAATGGAAAATGATTATTGCAATAGCTTGTATTGATGTTTTAAATTAAAACAGAATTGTTGACATATTTGATTTGCTATGATGCAGAAAATTACTGAATGCAACAGGTACAAAGACGGATGGACCAGCTGGAGTCCAGTACAAGTTTTCTAACTAGTGAACAAACATGTATGATTAACACTACCACAGAGGTATCAATGCATACAAATGACAAGACTAATAAATTAACTAATATAGTTTTATTTCACAAACTTAATATTCAATCTAGACCATCAAGCGTCATGAAAATAGATTTTAAAATTCAAATAATGTTCAAGAACAGTTCCTTTTTAGTACAGTTGGGCTTTGCATCTAGTTGCGAGACTGCCTATATCTGCAGAGAACTGTTAAGCACCATGAACTAATCAAATGTTTCTTCATGGACTTAAGAAAGGTGCAGAATATAATTTGATGTACTTCCTCAGGTTTGATAGGAAATGTCTGTCTGGTGCTATTGCAGAGCCTGGTTCAGGGTGCTCTGTAGAATATTTTGTATTTCCTTGTACACTATACATATTTGACGTTTCTTTGATCCCACACACACCTGCAAACACAATCATCACCTACCCCCCTACACACAAAACACATGACCTCTGGATCAACAGGTGTCGAGTTGTCACCGCCAACTTCCAGGTGTCTGAAAATCAGTGTTAATCGTTTGATGCACAGAAAAACCAACCAATCATCACCTTCTCTACAGTGACAAGTGTTGCTGAACAAGATGGCAATGGATGTCTTGGTTCTGGACAGATGAAATCCAGCTTATGCTGTAAACAGTCCTTTCCCGAAGATATGATAGCATTTCCTTGGTGATTGATAAATCAGATATATGGCGACTGATTTGAAATTAACCTTGTTTTGCATATCGATGATGGAAGAACAACTCCAATTTTATGTCCACTCAACGAAACACTGTTTAATTCAAAATGCCTCATTTCTTTGAACCTGCATCTATGAAATCCTTGGCTTCATTTATTTTGGCTGCTAAATAAGGGGATCCACCTACAAAATTGAAATAAATAAAATATAAAATACTGACTTTAAAGGCTGATAAGACAAAATGCAGTAAAACATAATTACTGACTTCACACCTTCAAATGTACAAGAGGCCCAAAGGGCCTGTATTGCACACCTGGACATTTGAGCAATCATGGGAAAATATTCTCAATGAAAGTAATTTTGCAAATATAACTGTATATTGAGTCTCTCAAGGCTTAACCATGTTCCAGACTGAAAGCTATATATATAAGAAGCTTTATACTACTCTACCCCAGCATGTACTTTGTGCCAGGTAAGCTTATAATTGTAAACATCACTGCTAATGAACTGCATGACTGACATCAGAACATAACATACATGGCCTATCGGGTGTAGTAATAACTTCTTTTACTGTTCGACTACCGAGTTAATCCTCTACTATTTTTTCAGGACCTTAACAGTTTGAGTTGGATGAAAGACTGGAATCTACTAACAAAATACCAGTTCCACCAGTCATCACAATAATACAACATGAACGTTCTTACTCATTTTTGAACTAATAATGTGTTCTTATATGATGGTAAGAAGGATTATAAATGATTTATTTGTTGTTTCTTTATTTGTTATGATGATGACTACCTTTAAACAATTGCTATGTTAAACAAACTTGACTTTCAGGTAATGAACTACCTTAATTATATCCCTTCTGATTGATTCAGTAATATAAAACTTATAGTATACCAGTGTGAGAGATTTTCCTTATGTATCACTACTGATATTCCATTATGAATCAAACTTTTACAAGTCAAATTTCGAATTTTCCTTGATGGTTCCGCAAAGTTCCAAAACATCAAAGTGTGACTATATTAACTTTCAAAACAAGTTCTATATTCTATTGTAGCCTGACAACATTTAATTTTCATTATTATTATACATATAAAACCTCATACCTCGGTCGGGGTGGTTTAGAAGCATGATCCTCTTGTGAGCCTCTTTCACCTTGGACTTGCTGGCGTTGGGGCTACAATATCAAGCTTGGGTTAGAGACATGTATATAAAAGCATCATTCAAATTATTATCAATTTCCAGGTATCACCATTCCTCTCATAACCGTTTCATCAACCCCAGCTTATGGGTTTTATTTTGGCAAATATTTCCACTTTTACAGTATTTCAGCATGTTACAACCCTTTTTACTTCATGATTTGATAAAACACCTTAATTTTGTTGCTATTTCAGAGGTTTTTTTAACCACATATATACATTAAATGTTTATAGTTTACCAGAAATTGAACAAAGTATTATCAATCCCAGTGAGTTGCTATACATGTACCACTTACCTGATACCCAGGATGAGGCCAGCTTCTCGTTTGTTAATTTTCTGATCAAATCCTCCCTTGTAGTATTTACTAAATGACTGAAAAGTAGACAGAAAGAGAATTGAGTCCAAATGTATTGATGGGGATTCCTAAAGTCATGGTAAACATTTGTATAGTAGGTCCCAGGATAAAATAATTGAAGTTAATGAATCGCCAAAAAAATGCCTAACCTTTGTATATGTATTTTTAACTGACTGAGTGCTATCATCCACAACCTCTGTCCTCTAAATCACTCAATGTCTTTATATAGTAGTCTCATTTCAGAACTAACAGTTCTACAAGCAAAAGCTGAAATACAATTTAAGATTTTGAATTTTACTTAAATACATTTATTTTTTTCTAATTTTTATATATTATAATTATTGAAGGAATGGCTTTTGATTTTAGTCAGGTTATGAGGCGGTGATTCTAATTGCATGTAAATCAAATAGATAGCTAAACTGGAATTATCACTTCATGACCTGACTGAAATAGAAATCAGTTCCTTATATTTACAGTCTGTGAATGGTTCAGAACTACTTTATTCATTAGTCTGATCAGCACCTAAAGATACAAATGCCATTTCCAAATTAAATTAATTAACATGTCATTGGTTCATTAAGAGTAACAGCCTGAAATCTGCACAAGCCATGGTTAATTCTGCTCAAGTCAATGTTGCACAATTGTTTCTTATTCACAGAAAATTTGCATAGCTGTGCCCACACGTACACTTGCCATGCTCTATCGTAAGCTTATGAGACGATATTGATACCTCCAACTTGCGGGAACAATTGGTTATTGAGTGAATGTCAGTGCAGACTGTAAGTACCTAACCCTTTCACCACTGTAGACCATAATGGACTCATCCATGTCAATGTATATGCATTGCAGTGTCTACTTAAGTTACATAGGTGTGAAAGGGCTAAAGATAGATATGTATTATCGATATAGAGTATATTTTTTCCACTAAGTACTTTTATATACTGAAACATAAACCTACCCCATTTGGAATTGAATCAAGTGTTTTCTTCAGATGATTTTGGGCATTTTTTCCAAACTTCAAGTAGGCACGGCCTGAAAACAGAACAATGATTAGGTTTTTGTCTGAAGATTACATATCCTATACCAGATGAGGCGTGGGATTTTTCCTTAATATGCCAAATTGTGCAGATCTATAGTTATCTACCGGTTGTTTACACAACTGTGTACAGTACAAAGGAGCCTTGTAGTTGGGTTAAAAACTCTGAAATGTATAAACAAGAGGCCCAGAGGGCCTGTATCGCTCACCTGAATATGTTTAAAATAATTGGTATGAAGTTAAGATATAGCACTCCATGGTGGGTACTGTAAGTATATATAAAATTTCAGAAAGATCCATCCAGTACTTGAGATATAGCGAGAACAAACTTCAAACAGAGCCCCACCCCTATGCACACTCGCTGTTAATACAAAATTGAGTCCCTTTTGCCCAAGGATGCTCCAGACTAAGTTAGGATAAAATCCCCTAATCCCTATGGTAGAAGAAGGTTTATAAAGGTTTTACTTCTATTTCCCCTATTGGGCCCCGCCCCTCAGGTCCCAGGGGGTCCACACCCACCGTTTATAAAAAAAACTTGGTGCCCCTTTACCCAAGGATGTTCCATACCAAATATGGACCAAAACCTTTCATTCCTACAGAAGAAGAAGGATTTTAAAGAATTTGCTATGTTTCCCCTATTGGGCCCTGCCCCTCAGCCCTCAGGGGGGCCAGACCCACCATTTATACAAAATTAAGTCACCTTGGCCCAAGGATGCTCCAGACTAAATTAGGATAATATCCCTTAATCCCTATGGTAGAAGAAGGATTATAAAGGTTTTACCTCTATTTCCCCTATTGGGCCCCGCCCCTCAGGTCCCAGGGGGGCCACACCCACCGTTTATAAAAAAAAATTGGTGCCCCTTTACCCAAGGATGTTCCATACCAAATATGGACCAAAACCTTTCATTCCTACAGAAGAAGAAGGATTTTAAAGAATAATTTGCTATGTTTCCTCTATTGGGCCCGCCCCTCAGGCTCCTGGCGGGCCAGAACCATAGTTTGTTCAAAATTGGTTCCCCTTCACCCAAGGATGCTTCAGACCAAATATGGAACAAATCATTTCATTTCTACAGAAGAAGAAGGATTTTAAAGAATTTGCTATGTTTCCCCTATTGGGCCCTGCCCCTCAGCCCTCAGGGGGGCCAGACCCACCATTTATACAAAATTAAGTCCCCTTGGCCCAAGGATGCTCCAGACTAAATTAGGATAAAATCCCTTAATCCCTACGGTAGAAGAAGGATTTTAAAGGTTTTACCTCTATTTCCCCTATTGGGCCCCGCCCCTCTGCCCCCAGGGGGGCCACACCCACCGTTTATACAAAATTGAGTCCCCTTGGCCTAAAAATTGTGAAAAGAGAAAAGGATTTTTCAGATAAAATTACTGAAATAAATTTGATGGATTACTAATATATATAGCACTCAATAAATGAAATATTTCCACATTAATGATATTTTTAGTGTTTCTCCAAGAAATCGTGGGCAGAATGTTTAAATGTTCTGTCAATGAATTAAATCACTTACCAGCCAGTCCGACAGCTGCCATACCTAGTCCCACCAAAAGAGCACTTGTCTGAAACAGGAATGTAAATATATGTTTTTGATACTTTGAAGGATTTTTATTTCTTCAACCCTAGTTAAAACCTGACATGATCCACTCCATTCAGGTCTTTAGTATTCCCTTAATAATACACAAAACTTGCACCTCAAAGAAGACACCCTGGCAGTATTTATATAGAAAATCTGAACAAAAAATCATCACATTTTCTAAATCACAGACATTTCGATTCAAATCGAAGTAATGACAACTGAAAAATGTACTGCCCCCCCCCCCCCCAGTTAATGTGGAAAGGACTAGGGACTATAATTTCTTTTATTCTTTAAATTTTCGACAGTCGGCTATACTATTTTTGTTGGGCCAGTGACTATACCTCACTTTTGACAACTTTTGGTCGCCTGAGCTAGTCTTTAATCACCATTGGCGAGCAGGCGACCATCCATTTCAGGAACTGCTGCACAACAAGGGAACAAGGGGAACCTACATATAAAATTGAAGAAAGATCCCTCCCGTACTTCCAAAGAAATAGCGATAACAAACTTTCACTATCAAAATCCAAGATGGCTGCCTGTTGGCCATGTTGTTTATCCGATCAGTCTCAAGCGTTGCCCTGCACAGCTAAGAACCAAGGGGAACCTACATATAAAATTTGAGGAAGTTCCCTCTGGTAGTTCTTGAGAAATACTGATAACAAGAATTGTTTAAGGCCGGACAGACCACAGACGCAGGGCAATTTGAATATCAGATGATGGTGGGCTAAAAATTACTACTTGCGTAGGTCAAATTTTGGGTTAAAAATCATGTTCTTTTGCATTTTTTGATGTGGTAACCATGGTTTTCACAAGTCTCAAATCTGGGGAAATCACTTTTTGAAGAAAAAAAAATCATTCTTCTAAAAAAAATGTATTCAAAATGTAGTTTATAAATATATATATATATATGAAGGTGTGTTGTGCAGGATAAATCTGCTATCCATGTTTATCTGATCGAGATAAGAATCAGATTAGGATCGAGCCATTTCTACTGTACTATGCTACCTTTAACCTTGAATGTGGGTCAAGGTCATTCATTTGAACAAACTTGGTAGTCCTTCATCACAGCATGCTACAGGCCCAATTTCAATACCCTGGGCCTTTTGGTTATTGAAAAGTTGTTTGAAGATTTTAAGACATTTGACCCGTGACCTTGAAAGTGGGTCAAGGTTATTCATTTTAACAAACTTGATAGCCCTTATCCCAGCATGCTACAGGCCTAATATCAGTACCCTGGGCTTTTTGGTTGAGAAGAAGTCGTTTAAATTAAAATATTGATGACGGACGCCACCAGGGCATAAGCTCACTTGGCCAGGTGAGCTAAAAACTAATGGTACTTTGATATAAGACATCTTTTCAACCTCTGAAACCTCCAATAAGGGAGATCTTTCTCATTCTACATTTCCAGTGAGGGAGAAAGTGTCTGAAACCGACTGAAACTACTTTGCTCAATTTATCTTTCCCTTTTTAGGTCACCTGAGCTTTAGCTCAAGTGACCTATTGCTATCCGTTTTCGTCCGTCGTCGTCCGTCGTCCGTTAACATTTTACATTTCAAACTTAAAGTCAAGTTCTGCTGGGCCGATTGAACTGAA